ATGCCCCCAGCTGGGACAACAGGGAATCCAGGGCCAGCCATGCCACCACCAAACCCGAAGGCACCACCAGCTGCACCACCAAAACCACAGGATATCCCAGTGCCAGCAACAAAGCCTGCAGGTCCATAGAAGCCACCACCTCTTCCAGCTACGGAGATCCTATTGCATCCACCAACATTGTAGAGGCTCCTGCTTCCAAAACCTCCAGCAAACCTTCCATAACCAGCAGCGGTGCTGCAGTTTCCACCTTGGGACGCAGAACGTAAGCAGAAGCTGGTGCTGCTGGCATTTGGGATGAAGGCAGAAGCAGCGCTGAAGCCGGTTTTGGTCTGGTTCCTTGCGGCGCACTGGCGAGACATGGCAGCTGGTGTGAGCAGGGGGAGAGCGGTAGAAAGAATAAAGCAGCGAGGAAGTGGATGAAGGCAGGAAGGTGAAGTTGTGCTCCTCCAGGCTGGGACTGGCCCTTTTATACCCTTATAGCTGGGGATGGGTCTGGTGTGGTGCTTATCCCACTGATTAACTGGGCTCGGCACACCCAGCAGCAAAGCGAACAGTGAGTTCACCATGAGCACCTATGAAGCACTCACAAAGTGCAGGAGTTGCATTTTTTTGTGATGGTCATGATCTGGCTGTTGAAATATCTGAGAAAACACTAAATACTGCCTGCTCTTGTTTGCAGCCGTCCCTTTCCCACTCCCTCCTTTCACCTCTGCAGTAGATGGTTCCCCACGTTGGGCAAGCGCTCGCTCATCTCTATTTCACAGATGAATCAATGCCTCTGTTGCGTAAAGGCGCGTTATTTCACCATGCAGTGGTCCGAGGTCTGAGAAATCTGTTCTTGCGGGGCTGTGTTTTCCTGCTGCTGTGGTTTTGAGTAAACCCCAGTGGGGCATCAGCACCTCAGGCCCCAACTTGTTGGAAACTCTGGACTCTTGTTCTTATGCCCAAACAAGAGTCCTTGAAACCAGAAGGGAGAAAGAGGTGATGGAGGGAAAGCCAGGAGGGTGATGGGGCACTCATGGAAGACTTGGAGGATCAGCTATCAGGTACCAGCTGGGGAGTGGGAAGGACATGTAAGGTGGTTTTATGAATGGTATTTTCAGACCTTTGCTTTCTGCGAAAAGTGTCTACGTTTCGTCCTGATTCAGACTGACAACAAATGATGAAATATCAGAATATGACCTGGGAGGGAGTTACCCTTGTCTGTGATGACACAAAACCTGAGTTGGCGATTTCTCAGGGCTTCACCTTCACAGATTTTTGGGCTGTTTCCTGACTCATGGGGTGACCTTGTCTCTACACTGTGTGGAGCCTGTTCCCAGGCTGCCCTCCCCATGTCTGTTGTCTTCCCCCTCTCGTATCTCTTACTCATGAGGAAATTCAGCGCTTGGGATCCAGATTTACGGATCCGGGTTCACAGACAACTCCCTTTATTCTTATTCCACATAGCACCCAGGAAAAGTCAAACAGTGCATTTCTCTGGTGAAAGACACATGGAGTCTTGACTCGCCCCGTGCCCGCTGTGTGGTAGCACTGCACACATGGGCACGTGTCCTAGAGCAGGCAAGATGCTCAGAAGTCACTCCCAGTGTCTTGTCCGGATGCCCAGGGATGGACATGCTTCTCTTGGACCCCGCAGCCCTTTGTGTTTGCCAAGGTACGTCTCTGCGGATGTCCATGCCCAAGCTGAACGCCTGCTCATCAGAGGAGGTAGCAGCCCACCTGCAGAGCGTTGCTGGGAAGTTGTAGCTTTCCCATTGAAAAGGTGCGTGCAGGCACCGGGCTGTGGAGCAGGTGTTTGCAGATGCATCTTGCGTGCTGGTGCTTGCTGTTTCGTACGTGGAGGCCGGGCGGCTGAGTTTGACCAGAAGGTCCCAGGAGGGTAATTTGCCCATCATCTCCTTTTGCCTTTCAGCCATGCTTTTTTTTTTTTTCTTTCTTTCTATTTTCTTCTCTATTCTTCTAAAGTTTCCATTACACACCCTGGAACAAAGCTAAAATAACTGTCCTGGGAGTGTTTCAGCTACTGTGTGTTACAACAAGCAGCAGTTTTTAAGAGAGGAGCTTCTGTGACTAAGCTACCGACCGTCTGTCCTAAAGAACTCTGTAAAAATGTTATAGGCAGCAATTAGCAATCAATTCCCTCCACACATTGCAAATTCAAGCCCCTGAGTGCAAGCACCATTCATTTCATTATGACTAAGGTTTTAATCTGGGCTGTGCTAGAATTAACGAGGGCTGTCCTCTCCCAGTGAAATACAAGCCACGGGTCATCGCTACATCTGCTTAACTTGTCTGGCAGGACTGGATGCAGAAGGATACGTTTGTGGTAACCAGAGCCCTGCTCGGGAGCAAGGCCAGCTGCACATCGGTCGTGTATCCAGAGACGCAAACCTTTGCCAGGGTGGATTTTCCTATCTTGCTGAAAAAGGCATGCCCTGGGAGAAGAAATATTCTGCCCCCAGCCTTTCCCATGGGTGAAGGGCCTCACAATCCCTGTGTTATGACCCAGGTGTTGATGCAGTGGATGGCATCCATCTGACGTGCCTGTTGGCTACACACCATACATCTCCTCTGGTTAGAGAGTGTGTTTGGGCAGCAATGAGGAAGACCATGACTTAACCTTGCCCAGGCTGAGTGAGGATATTTCTCCTTCCCAGGAAGCTGCTGTGCATATTCAGCAGGGAGAGGCAGTGGAGCAGGAGCGGACAGCTGCAGCAGACCCATAGCCAAGCCTGCAAATTTTTGGGAAGGAGGTTTCCTAAGGGATGCAGAGAGGAACATGCAGAGTTCAGAGCATCCTCGGAAGTTATGGGAAACTTCTGGTCTCGAAGGAAAACCCAAATACAGTCTATCATTCATTCACAACATATCTATCAGCCCTGCCCAGAGGGACTTGGATGGATGAAAAGCTGGGCATGAGCCGGCCATGGGCGCTGGCAGTCCAGAAGGCCCAACCCTACCCTGGGCTGCATCAAGAGAAGTGTGGCCAGTGTCAAGGGAGGGGATTCTGCCCCTCTGCTCCGCTCTGCTGAGACCCCCCCGGAGCCCTGCGCCCAGCTCGGGAGCCCTGGGCACAAGGAGGACCTGGACCTGTTGGAGCGGGGCCAGAGGAGGCCACAAAAATGCTGCGAGGGCTGGAGCCCCTCTGCTGCGGGGCCGGGCTGGGAGAGTTGGGGGTGTTCAGCCTGGGGAAGAGGGGGCTGCGGGGGGACCTGAGTGCGGCCGCTCAGGGCTTCAAGGGGGCCCCCAGGGAAGACGGGGACAATCTTTTGAGCAGGGCCAGCTGGGACAGGACACGGGGGGATGGTTTGAAACTGAAGCAGGGGAGGTTTAGGCTGGATCTAAGGAAGAAATTCTTTAGCAGGAGGGTGGTGAAACCCTGGCAGGGGTTGCCCAGAGAGGGGGTGGAGGCCCCATCCCTGGGAACAGTCCAGGCCAGGTTGGACGGGGCTGTGAGCAACCTGGTCTGGTTCAAGGTGTCCCTGCTCCTGCGGGGGGGTGGGGCTGGGTGACCTCTAGGGGTCCCTTCCCACCCAAACCATTCCGTGATTCTATGATATCAGTCTATCATATCATTCAGGCACTGCCAGTTCCCCTCTATTTGCCCATCTTTTTGAGTATTTTCCTAAGAAACCCGTTACTTGAACTATTGAAACACGTGGGGTGAGGGTTGGGACTTTTCTTCTCATCACATCTATTTGTTTAGCTGATCTTCCGGCAATGAGCATCACCTGGCTGAAAGCTACAGCGTGACAGATCTCATTGCTGCAAGATCGGTTGAACAAATAGATGATTAATTAATTTCTCCTGCTTAGTCAGAACCGCATTTAAAATTGCTACACCTTTTCTGGTTTTTCTCCACCTTCTCAACACAAGATCTTGTCTCCCAGTGTATTCTAGGAATGTGAAGAAACGTTGGATCTTGAAAACTTTCACTTTCCAACAGGCATCCTATTCTTGCGTATTTTTTATAGCTATTGGAGTAGCGACATCTAATTTAACATAGCACATGAATGCATATGGACCAGATCCTCCACCTGCTTATAGTCAAAGGAGAGGGAACATCAGCATCAAGACCCAAGATAAACACCTAAACCAGTATGGCCAGTGCTCTGAACGGCAAGGGAGTGCTTTCAACCCGCTCAGGCAGATGTTTGCACCGCTGGCACCTATGCTCAGGTGAGACAGCTCACGGTAAGCGGGGTGTTGAGATGGACTGATACACTTGAACAAGTCGGGTGGTTGCTCTGACTCCCCTAGTAATTAGTTCCCTATTGTTAGAAGTTTATGCAGGTACATCACACACTTGGCACTGCCCTTTGTACCCCCTGGGAGCCAGGCTGTTGGATGCTGTCTTGGCTGGAAGCTGCGTAGTAAATGAATCTTAGACCTTTTCCTCTGCACCCAACTCCTGCCGTGGCGTGCCCTGTCTTTAGCTTCCAGGTGCTTTACTTGCACGGTGGGGAGAACATTGAAATCAGCAGCAACCCCCCTTTGGTGCTACGCTCTGCCTGGGTGTTTTGGCTGCCAATGGGGAGATTCAGGAAATGTGAATGAGGAGCAAAAATTGTGCCTTTAACTGGGCAGGGCCCTAGGAAAAGTGCTTGTTACCTGCATTTGCATTTGCTGTTCCATGTCTTTAATTAAAAGGTCCACACAATAGAATAAATTACATATGCATTTTTATTAGACAAACACCAGAAAGTGAAGAGAGACAAACAGTCATGGGACACATTTTATGTACAAAATCCGGCCAAAAAATGCTGAGCTGTAACAAGCGAGTTGCAAATTTTAAGCAGTCGGACTCACGTTCAGTAGCAGAGCCCTACGCGCCGCGTGCTAGACAACACAGCTGAGAGAGAGTTCCTAAAGTGAGGCTCCTGTGCAACAAGACATAGGGTTTAGGTGGCCCTCATTCTGTTGACCCCAACTATGCTTTAGTAAAAGACCAGTGTTAAGGTGTTTTCTGGCGAGTGAAGGCATCTGAAAGGAAACTTTTAGCTTCTGTAACTTCTTCTGGTGGAGGAGGTCGAGACGAACTTCACGCTGGAGCTGCTGCCACCACCGAGGGTGGTGCTGCTAACCCCGGGACCGCTTCCACAGCTGAAGCTGTTCCCCATAGTGCAGATTCCCCCTCCCATGCTGAGGTTGCTTCCTCCTCCGTATCCCGTTCCCACAGTTGTTCTGGTCACAGCTGCAAGAAGGAGAAGGAAAAGCTTTCAGTTTCTCTGGGTATTGGCTTCTTGGTTCAGAGACACACTAATGCTTAAATAAAGTAACTGCATGTATTTTAGAGACTTACAGATATTCACTGGGACGCCATCTCCAGCCAGCCTGTTAGGGGACAGAGCACAACAAAGTAAGAGGATAAGAAATCTGTTGATAGTGGGGGGAAAAAAACAGGGTACATTTCCTAGAGACCTTTTGAGGAGAAAAATAAAAACTTGGCGTAATTCGGGGATGCTTCTTGCAATATTATTTCCACTAGCCAGGACAAACACCTACCACTGCCACCTCCTAACGCCCTGTTCAGCATTTCAGAAATGCTGAGCATCTCCAGTGCTCGCGTTGCTTTGCTCCTCCAACATCAGGGCTAGAAGGGTTGTGTTTCCCACTCACCTGCACTCCTCGCCCTCCAGCAGCTTCCTGTAGGTCGCGATCTCGATGTCCAGGGCCAGCTTGACGTTCATGAGCTCCTGGTACTCACGGAGCTGCCGGGCCAGGTCTGCCTTGGCCTGTTGCAAAGCATCTTCCAGCTCAGCCAGTTTGGCTTTGGCATCCTTGAGGGCCAGCTCCCCACGTTCCTCAGCGTCCGCGATGGCCGCTTTCAGATTTGCGCACTGTAGAAGAGAACCCCCCAGTCAAATTCCCCATACAAGACCTAAACTTGTGCTTTATCTACCCTGAAGTCATGAGGGCTTATTCCAGCACCATCAGCTTAACCATTTTTAGTGACGATTCTCTTTTTCAGAGAAAAAGAATCAAACCGAGCAGAACTTGCCTAGGTTGCCTCTGACATTTTCCTTCCTCTCCCTTGCAAGTCAGGGTGTAAATTGGTTAAAAGTGGGGGGTTTGTTGCTTTTTACCTGTTTCTTCACGCTGTCGATTTCAGACCGCAGCCGTTGGACGTGGCGGTTGAGCTCGGAGATCTCCTGCTTGGTGTTACGGAGGTCGTCCCCGTGCCTGCCTGCCGTAGCCTGCAGCTCTTCATACTGTCACAGAGAGAGGAACAATCACCCAAGGTAAAATCCACTGGGTTTGGAGTAACCCAGGTGTCTGAAACCCTGGGTCCCTCCTCGAGCCCAGACTAGCAACTGGAGTGCTGCTGTGCAGGATGCAATATTTGAGGTTTTCTTGGAAGAGTCAGTCTTTATCTGTTCAAGACACGACATGAAGATAACAGCACGGAAACACCCAGTTTCTTCACCTTGGTTTGGTACCAGGACTCTGCTTCAGCCCGGCTTCTGTTGGCGATGTCCTCGTACTGTGCTTTGACCTCCGAGATGATGCTGTCCAGGTCCAGGTTTCGGTTGTTGTCCATGGTGAGAACGACAGAGGTGTCGGAGATCTGGGTCTGCATCTGAGACAGCTCCTGCAAAGTGCACAGGGGATTAGGTGAGCTAATTCGTTTGGGAGATGCCTTTTCATCCTCTCAGATGCGCGTGCAGACCTGGGAGAGGCTACAGATTGTTATCTAAACAGCTAAGACGGTTGGTGTAACTCTAAAGAAGTAAAGGATTTAGCATCTCCTGGGGGAAGAAATTACAGTCTTTCAGAGGAAAGGAGGGAGGGAAGCTCTTAACTGGAGGTTGAAATGTCTTGGGAGGTGGTTGTACTCACTGCTTCGTAGAGAGCTCTCAGGAAATTAATTTCTTCGGTCAGCGCATCCACCTTGGCTTGTAGTTCCACCTTGTTCATGTAGGCAGCATCTACATCCTGGAGGACGAGAGATTTAAGTGATATGTTTTAAGCTCTTATTAGCAAGTCGGGAACACTTATATCTCTGCAAGAACAGTCCAGGGAAGAAACCATAAAAAAAAAGCTTTTGGAATATGACTGGATGGATTTGTGAATGAGTAGGTGATTAGAGCTCTACAAATAGTCATCAGATGCTATTCTGGAATTTGGCCTCACCTTCTTGAGTGTCACAAATTCATTCTCTGCAACTGTACGCCTGTTGATTTCATCTTCATACCTAATGGAGGGAGGCAGAAGGAGCATTTGTTTAGGCAAGTAACAGATGGAGGTGATTTTAGTTTGCTGGAATGAACTTCCTTAAGAGTATTTTGCATACAATGTTCTTTTCTCCTACAGAGCATCTGAATAAGAGACCATGAGCATGTTCCTAGGCTAAACTAGTTAAAACAAGTACAGCAGAAGAAAGTTTGAAGAATCTGTTCTTTTTTTCCTGTTTCTGGCCATTAGTCATACTCCTGCCCGTCTTAAGCGTGCTGTCCTGAAACTCTCAGACCCCATGTAAGGGGTTTTTCTCAGTAGATAATTTAGTTAATAAGTCTTTGATCATAGTCTAAATTATTCCCTAAATGTTTGTGTATTTGGATCTGTTACTCCATTACCATCTATCCTGAGAAAATGTCACAACCTTCACTGTCAGGAATTCCTGTGTCCCGGACTCTCCTGGATCCTCTGGTTGGCTGTTCAGTGGAGAAAAGCTGCACCTACCTAGGTAAGTAGACCACGAGCTCAACAGACTTACTTCTTCTTGAAATCCTCAACCAGGTACTGTGTGTTGACAAGCTCTCCCTCCAGCCTTCCCTTGTCACTCAGCAAACTGTTCAGCTGCATCCTCAGGTTGTTGATGTAAGTCTCAAAAAGCGGCTCCAAGTTATTCCTAACTGTTTTCATCCCCTGCTCCTGAAGCAGGCTCCACTTGGTTTCCAGCACTTTATTTTGTTGCTCAAGGAATCGGACCTGCAAGCAGAAATATCCCAAAGATGTTTTGAAAGAGCAGAGATTATGGAAGCCTTGCAAATGTGGGATCTCAGTACTAGCTGAGGTGGCGAATTACTCTTTCCAGCTGGTTCTCATAGCCAAATTCTCATCTGGTAGAAGAAGGAATTTTCTATTTGACTGCAGCGACCCTGCTCAATATTGCAAACAAACTCTGGAATGACTACTGATGTTCTTGCACTGTGCTTCCCCTTTATTGCTTTGCTAAATCAAGGCAAGGTGCGTGCATTTTGTGGGAAGAGTGCATGCAAAATCAGATAAGGAGCAAAACAGGCTTTGCACTCTTATTAAAAAACAGTAGTGAAGTGCCATTTCTCCTTCCCTTCAGTATAGCTCCCTCACCCCACAGAAGCTCCAAAATAACATAGCATTTTCCTTGAAATCAAAGAGGAGCAGCTCAACCAGAGCAGAAATCAAGCAGATGCTCTTGTGCATCTAATAGAGTTAACAAGGCAATGAAGTGGACAGACAGCATCGGGTCAGATTTTGCTGGTTTGAACTAACAGTCCAAACATGCTGCTGCTGTTGCAGTGAGAGCTTTAAATGCCTGTCAGGAAATTCAAGCAATGAGACGCTTACTTCTCCCTCGTGCCAATTCACCTGATTCCTTTCTTGGTCTAAAATGGGTTGCTTGCATCTCACTTTAACCATCTAAAAAACTGTTATCAAGGCTCCTATAATGCTCAGTGGAGAGAGCCCAACATCTCCAGAAGGATCGGACTGTCTTCTAGAGCTTTCTTTCTCCACTGCCTATGAGATGTCAAGCAGCAAGTGAGGAGGACCTCGAATACTGGATGATTAATTAATTTATAGCAACCACTATGTAGCAGGTACCGTTCCCTGGAGTTTCTGGGGACTGGGCATCTTCCAGTCTCATTCCTCACTTCTACTCCTTCTTGATCAGCTTACGTGCTCATAAAGCAGCTAAGAAAAGAGTCCCCATCAAAAAAAAAATCAAGACAAGATATTTAGGGAAGCTCATGTCTCACCTTGTCAATGAAGGAGGCAAATTTGTTGTTGAGGGTTTTGATTTGTTCCTTCTCCTCCTTGCGGATCCTTTGGATGCTGGGGTCAATCTCCAAGTTGAGAGGCTTCAGAAGGCTCTGGTTGATGGAGACTTCGTGGATGCCCCCAGCTGGGAATCCAGGGCCACCCATGCCACCACCAAATGCACCATATCCATAGCCAAGGTTAGCTGGCATGCCAAAGCCACCACCGTACACACTACCAGCGCCACCACCAAAACCTGCAGATCCATAGAAGCCACTACCCCTTCCAGCCACAGAGATCCTCTTGCATCCACCAACACTGTAGAGGCTTTTGCTTCCAAAGCCACCACCAACCCTAGCAAACCCGCTGCCAGCATTGCAGCTTCCGACCCGGGTGACAGAGCGTGAACTGAAGCTGGTGCGGCAGGTGTTTGGGACGATGGCCGAAGCAGCGCTGAAGCCACTTCTTCCCCTCTGAATCCTCACGGTGGACTGGCGAGACATTGCTGGCTTTTGGATTAGGATGGATGCTACAGCAAGAATAAAGGAGCAAAGGTGCTGGCCTGGAGCAAGGAGTAGGAGGGAAAGGAGAAAGATGAACCTGTGCTCTCCGCAGGCTCAGGAGAGCCCTTTTATGCATGTATGAGACTGGGATGGGTTTGATGAGGTGGATCATCTTCCTGATGAATTAGGCTTGGCATGTCCAACAGCATTCTGGAGAGTGAACTCACTCCACACACACGCCCTTCTGAAATAATATAGCCAGGTTCTGAGCAACAGTGGTATTGTTTGGGAATAACTGTCGCCTTCTGCCGCCTTTGTAGACAGCCAGACTCTTTGCCATATCAAAGCGTTTGAAAGTTGCAATGAGTCACATTGGGCACAGGGAGGAAAACACCGTTCAAAATGCCTGTCACTCAACACCTCTCTCATTTGAAAACTTCATCCCTCAGGATTGCTTTTGCCCCTTGTCTGGTCACAAGCAGGGCTTTGAAATCTTACAGCCCCTTGGGTTCTAGGAAGGGGTTCTGTGTGGGGCAGGGCAGTGTTTTACAGCAAGCCCTGCGGTAAATCCTTCTACCCTGGATTTTTGTGATACGTACTGCATGGTCCCCTCTATGCCACCACAATAAACCTGCAGAAATAGTGTTGCTTCCATCCCTACAAAGGCTCAGCTCCCTGTGCTGATCTCTTCTGAAAATCCTGCTTCTGCAGACTTATTCCTCTGCCACTAAAAAAAATACAGGAATGAAAATTAAATGTTTTGACAAGGTCTTCTGTTCGTGTGTGGGTTTTGACAGGTGCCACTGAGCTCTATCACCAATGGTTGTGCTAGTCCCTCGGCTTTGAAGATTTGGACTTCGGTATTTTAGCAGCATGGAAACAAACAAACAAACGCAAAAAGAAAAGAAAAGAGGAGGAAAGATTGTGGGAACGGGAACTTCTTTGAATCCACTGGCTCTATGGAAATCGAGTGCTCCGGGGCTGTTCCCAACTCACAGTTTATAAACACGATGTAGTTTCCCAAAGATTTAATCATCTCTTTCAGCACTGCACATCTGAAAGTGTGATCCTGCCTGCTCGAATCCACTAGGAAAGTGCTCTGCGGGATTCCCTCTGCCCAGATCCGGACACTGTAAGGCATCCTGGCTCTTTCCTTTCTCAGCCGCAGGTACCAACGCAGCCCTTTGCTTTGCATTTAGCATGGCAGGCAGTTTGAGCGACAAGCCAAAGAGAAAAATGTGAAAAAGAATTCATTTTGAGTGACAGCGAGTGTTTCTGACCCTCGTTGTGTTTGTGGAGTCTCCTTCTCTGGAGATATTCAAAGCCCACCTGGATGAAGTCCTGTGTAGAATGCTCTAGGAGAGCCTGCTCTAGCAGGGGGGTTGGACTAGATGATCTCCCGAGGTCCCTTCCAACCCTTGCGATTCTGTGATTCTGTGATTCTGTGATTCAGGTTGTTCAGAAAAAGATGGATTCCTACATAATGTATCTGTACGAGAGAGTGAACTTGCAAATGCATCCCCCCCAAGCAGCTTCCTTGTGTTGTCTGCAAGTCCAAGCAGCTGCTGGCTGCAGTACAGGAATAACGTAATTTTGAGGAATCACCACGGTGGAGGGGTGTTGTGCTTCAGTCTGCCCCTGTCTTGCAAGGTAGCCGGGTAAAGGAAGCTCCCAGAAATGCCTTGTGCCCCCGTTGTTTCCCCAGCTGCTTTCTTTCAGATGGATTGCATTTGCAATTGAGTTTTTTAAATGAAGGGGGCAATAAACGGCAATTGTTGGTTTATTTTGGTGTCTATTACAAGACTGCGTTTTTATTGTAAGGAAGGGCTTAATCCTACAGTTTTTGTCCAGCGGGGCTGCTCATTGGGTCTGACTGCCTTCACGTTTGCACCCATGGGAACTGGAAGTAAATGGATTGCAACCGACAGGCCTGCATCCAAAAGGCAGTGGATTATTGATCAGCCTTAGGGTTTTGCCCACCAATTGACAGAGGTCATGACTTGAGCGTATGAGATCGCTTCCCCCCCACATAGCTTGATTTATATAGATGCAAGTTCCAGACAGCAAGATATTCAGAGGCAAGTGGCCAGCCTCCTTAAGTGCCTGTGGGTCCTTTGGGTATTGCTTTCTCAGGTGCTCTCCATCTTACGTCACTTTGACTATCTGGAAACATTTCTGTAGTCTTGTGTAGTTAGTGGAGGTCACCACCCAAAGGCAGGTTCTACCGTCCAAAGGCAGATGGACGGAGAGGCCCCTGAAGATGGCTTTCCACTTTCACCAACCCTATGTGGGTAGACCAGATGGCTGACTCAGGGTGTGCGGAGTTGGCCAGGCTGAAACCCACCCTCGGTTACTAACAGCGTGATGCGTCAGTACTTTCCTTTTTCCCCTCAGGCTCCTTTTACATATGAAACTTGTCTTTTTTGGCTAAAGAATACGCCAACTGCATTGGAGTCCATTGTTAATAATAGTAATAATACTTCTCCTCCAACTAAGTAAAAAGAAATTAATTTCTTTCCATTTCACATTTGCACTAGGGTGGAGGTGATGCGGTTGTCACTCATCTGGAAGGAATTTGAGAGGTAATTACAAAAGGCAGAACTGTGAGCACAATGAGCTGTAGCTACAGGTTTGGGGTATGGGGTGATGGCAAGGGGGCCCCCACCCTGCTCTGTTGATGAAACACAGGGTTTCCAGGTAGCTCCTGGGGGAGTGTCTCCTGTGCACCCTGCAGCTCCAGGCATGTAATGAATTTGCTGCTCGGATGCAGATAGCTTGCTCTGATACGGACTTTTTCTCCTCCACCAGAGGATGATAATTCTTGTGCTCACTCAAGCTGTGCTGTAGTTTTTCCTCCTAATCAAAGGGAGCTGTGTTTAGGCAGGTCCCGCCGGGTGAGAGCCTCCCTGCCATGGCAGAGGCCATCTGCGAGGTTGAGCAGGCTCCAGAGCCTTTTTCTTCCCTTCCCTTCCTCATTTCTTCCTTCCAGGCTGAGCAGAGGGGGAAGGCAACAGTGGGTGCAAGTCCCAGACCAAGAGGCAGGAGATCCCTTTACATCGTGCCGTAAACCTGGGAGTAAACTCTTGGCTGAGTTTGTTTCCGGCATCATGCTGATATCAAGGTAATAACTCTCCTTTGAGATTATGGAAGTGAGTTCTGACTCTATCAGGGCAATAAAGGCAGGGGGAGAAAGTGAGAAATTAGTGAGAAATTTGAACCATTGTCTCTGTACCCAGCCAGTGAACAGGGGACGCCACCAAGAGCTTTTCATCACCTCCCTCCCATCTCTCTGCGCTGCTGCTCCTCTCCAGCACCCGCGTTGGAAGCCTTCGTCTGAGGATGATGCCCTTTTTCAGACAAGGCTGAAATTCTTAGACGTGCCTCTGTGTGTTTTGTTTGCAAAAATACCTGTATTTGTAAAACAAGACCGTGTCTTACTAACTTGGGTTGGTTCACCTGTGCTACCTAATCTCAGTTTAATTATCAGTAAAGTCAAGGCTGTAATTTAGGTTAATTGCTTAAATTAAAGCCTTTGGGTTAAACTTGGGCTGCTAACCTAAATTCAAACCCTACTCATTTTGGCCATAATTTGCTATTTCATCCCAGGTTAATGAAGTCCTGCTGGTCACCCTGAGCTTTTTCCATGGGGGACCACACAACTCGCGGCATCCCTGTGCTGCAGTGACAGGGACCTCTGGGAGACCTCCTGAGCAGGAGGCGAGTGTCCATGAATCTCATTTCCCGAAGGGATGAATTAGGATGAACTCCTCAGAAGCTTTCCCATAGGTGTTGCCCCGTGATGGGTGTTGCAGTCCTTTGAGCCTGTTCCCAGCAGTATCTGGAGGCCAGTCAGCTATAACTCCTAGATGACTTTGAAGTGTAGGTGTGACCTGCTTTCTCCAGATAATTGTTTTCTCTGCTAGCACAGAGACACCGATACAGCCCAGGGTTTTGGAATAACTTTGCCTTCATTAATTGCTGTTGTTGCCAGATGCTTTATGCAGAGTGGGGAGGTCTCATTTCCCCCGATGGCTTGTTGCATCTTGAAAGAGCCTCTGACCTTAGGTGGGTATTAGCTGATACCTTCTGCATGCAACACTGGTGCTTAGATGGTGGTACCCAAAGAAACCGAAATATCCCAAATTGCGTCGTAATGCTTTCTGAGCCCTTATCCCTGAGAAGGGCTGCTGAGGCTGTGATCTCCACTGAGCTCCATGTGGAAAGCAAGATCTTTCAACACTGAAGGTTGCGCAGTGGTATTATAGCATCTCATCCTCTCTTGTGGCCCCAGAGTGCATCTTTTCTCCCGATAAAGAAAACCGAGCCTTGGAAGTGGTGTTGCTGGGAAGTCCAGTTATTTCGGATCAGCTTTGTGCCTGCAACGTGGCATGTCCCTCAGCTCCATCCTGCACCAAGCGCTGCTCCTGGTGCGAGTTGCCTTGCAAAGAGCCATAGCACTTGTGTGAAGTTTAATGTCTTCCTGTTAAAACAGACTGGATCTGCACAATGCTATTCTCAGAGCTGGTGAGACAAGCAAGGAGTATTCCTGTGTCCTGGAAAGTGCATCCAGTCACGCTGCACCAATTCTATGGAGCCTCATGTTTATTTACCGTACAGCGCTATGTTGCACTGCACGTGAGCCCGGAGGTCCCCGCCGCTGTCCCACGGCGCTTGGCATCGCGTGCAGCTGGACTCCGATCTCCAGCCACTCTGGGCAGCGGGATATTGCTGCCCTGTTTAAATAGCAACACTCAGGCTGAATGTGCCTCACAGATGGTAGCTGGGAATATTGTTCCGCTGCTGGTTTTGCTGCGTCCTGTGTTACCTTCCCTGCAGCCATTTCATGTCTTACTTCATTTGCAGGCTGTGTAAACCATTTGCAAATTAAAACAGAATAATTTTCTTTGATGAAAATTCTGCTTTTGAGTCAAAAAGCTGCAAACTTTCATTGGGGGAATGGTGAGGGGAAATGTTTCAACATTCCAGAGACAGGAATTTTTCCTATTCCCATAGGAAACATTGAAATTAAATGTTGTTTTGAAAAAAAATTTCACTTAATGTTTAAGTTGCCAGCTAAAATTACTTGTCAAGTTTGACTTGAATACGTGAGTTTTCCAGGTCTCTGCAAACCAGAAGCAGGTAGCTAGAAGACAACTTTCTGCATCTGCTGTCTGCTTTCTCAGCCAGGGCAGGCTCTTAAAACACTTCCCATGGAAACAGAAAAGAGACCGATAACTGCTCCATGCTTTTTTTGCCTCGGTAGCATCCTCACCCTCAGACCGCAGGAGAAGGACCCAGCAGCAGCCTGTGGCACCAGGTACTGTGGGGATGGGTAAGGGCTTGGCAGCGCAGCTCCCAAACAAGTTTCGCGGAGGGTTTGACAGTGGTGGTGGCCCACGCGTTGATGCAGCTGGTGGCACAGCAATGTGTTGAGCACACTTCTGTTAAAAAACCAAAAGAAAATGAACTATATTTGACATTTTCATTAATCAAAAAAAACCCAAGCCCACCACAAAATACAGATAAGCAATGATAGCCCAGTTGGGATGCCCTGCCTGTTACAAATGCCTCCGCTTTGCAAACTTCACTCTGTTTCCTTAAAACTGTCTAAGAAACATGGTGTCAGATGCTTGAGAACTGATGCAAACTTTTAAATGAATGGAGTCCAACCCGTTCACCCTTCACAAAACTTCCTCTGGTGCAAACAGGCTGCCCCGACTTTCCAAAGCCATCATTTCCTCGCCCTTTCCCGTGCGCTGGAGGAGAGAGTCGGGAGTGTGAGCCCCATGCCAGCCCCACCGCAGGACCAGGGCTTTGAGCCCTTGCAGGGCGGCACCATGCCTTTCTCTTGCTCTGGGCCCCCACCTGCTGGAGACACCATGCTGGATTGTTGAGTGCTTGCACCCCTCTGCGCAGCGTGGTGGGCGTGCAGGGTCCCGTTGACTCAGGAGCTTGGAGGTATTTCCCTGCGGGGAGCGCTCCGGCATGCCATGCATGAGCTGCTTTTGCCTGGCAGACATGCCCCCCCTCTCCTCTCACTCCTGGGGTCCTTCTTGGGTGCACCCCAATGGGAGCTTGCAGGAGATGAGAGCTGGGTTGGTGGACACCAACCAGTCTCCTCTTGGGACCGGCATCCCCAATGGGCTGCAGGTCCTTCCTCCTCTGCGCCCTTCCTGCCCTGGCCCCTTTCCTCACCCTTGGTTCATGCTCCAGCTCCTGCCTTTGGGGCTGGGTTCCCACCTCTCACTGTGCTTCTGTATCACTGCTGCCAGGATTCCTGTCTGGCCCTGCAGCCTCGCATGGAGCAAGAGCCAGGGGATGCCTGCGGAGCCACAGGAGGGAGCCCGGGAACAGCACGGGAGCCTGACTGAAACCCTCTGTCCAGGCAGGTCTTTGAAACCTCCCGGGGGGGGGTGTGTGTGTCTGGATGGGAACTGGGAGGCCGAGCGGCTGCAGGCACCTTGGAAGACCTCAGGTTCATTCAAAATGAAGCTGAGGCCCCAAAACAGCCCTTCCAGAGGAGCAGCCAGGATATTTAGTGATGTATTTACACATGCAGTGGAAACCTCGACGTGCGAACGCTGTATGTGCAGACCTCAGGCGCTTCGCCCTGCGTCCACCCCTCTTTGCTAGTGCTGCCCTCCCTCCGATGGCTTTTTCTGGTTAGGGCGACGTTTGGCTGCTCCATTCCCCTCCCCGCTCGATGCTGTTCTCGCTGCATCCTTGCTGTGGTGCTGATGCCAGAGCTGGGCTCCTCTGCCATTAAGATTTCCTCCTGTTTGCGTTGCTAACTAACGGCTGGGCCGAGCCGTGCCCCACCTGTACTAACTCATGAATCCCAGCTAAACCTTTGGGAATCGCCTTCCTTTCCCCACCCTCCTGCCCTTTCTCACTCCTGCAGTGATGGGCAAAGGGTGGATTTGCCGTTAACCACCACGGTGGGATTCATCCAGCTTTTGGCTCAGCCCTCGCGCAGCTTTTCCTTCCCGTGCCTCAGTTGTCCATCCATCCCACCCTTCTTTCCACACTCCCCAGCCCATCCCAGAGCCACGCCAGAGCCTGAGTCCTAAAACTGAGGGTTTTTAACTCAAGGCAGTGGTCCTTTCTTGTGAACTGCCTACAGAGAGTCCCCGCTGCCGCTGGGTCACAACACACATCCATACACAGGTGAACAGAGAAGAAAAGCCAAAAAGCAGCAGAATTTAAAAATGACAAATGCTCTTTATTGGATCATATTGGAAGTGAAGAGGCTGTAGCCATGAAGACGAAGAGTTAGAAATCAGTGTGGCAATTCATGTACAGAGAAAGTAATAGCCTTTCCCACGGGTGCCTGAGAAAACAGAAGGGGCTGGAAAAATCTTTACTTGCAGACAAACATTTGGAGGTTGTAACACGCCGGCAGAGGTTTTTAGAGCAGCCTGGAGCTTTTTTCATTGCTGAGGACCCAGGACTGTGGTTTCACAAGGCTGTCACTCTCGTTTTAGGACAAATGAAATGAATGTGCGTGGCCGAGCGCGGCTGTCCCCGTTCAGCGAAGTGCTTCCACTTCGCTTTAAATGGGTGACTCCAGGGGGAGAACAAGGGAAGAGCAAGGACAGTGCTGAAAGAGGGCCACCATCGAGGTCCACCATGGCTCTCCAAAGCCCTGTCAGTGACCTGTTACAACCTATGCTTTAGCCAAAGGTGCTCCAGATTCTCGCAGTGGGGTCCTGGTCTCCCCCCGCTGCCCCAAAGGTGGAGGGTGAAGGACGGAAGAAGGAGAGGGTCTAGCGCAGCTATTTACACCACTGATTTTGTAGGGCAGCACTTGCTTACGGAAGGCAGGAAACACGTTGTCATCTGCGCGGGGGGCCCCGTGCTCGCCATCCTTATCTGACGGTCTTTTTGCTAGTGGTGGTCTTGGAAACGATCCTCACGCTGCCTCCTGTGCTGGAGCTGATGCCTCGGCTGCTCCCGGAGCTGAAGGTGCTGCCTCCACCATAGCTGAGCCCTCCGCCAAGCCCTCCGCTCCCTCCTCCAAATCCGCCGCTGCTGCTCATGCTGTAGCCGCCGCCACCGCCGCCTCCCATGCTGAGACCTCCGCCCATGCCGAGACCTCCGCCCATGCCCAGGCTGCCGCCGCCGTAGCCCATCCCACTTGAGCTGCTGACCACGGCTGCAGGGAGACAGAGCACACACCTGCTTTAGGGTCCTGCTGGCTGCAGGTGGGGGGCCCTGCACCCCCCAAGGTGGGGGGACCTGCACCACCACGCCTGCGGCAGGGGGGCAGCGAGCAGAGGTGGAAGGAGGGGAGATACTTACAGACGCTCACGGCTCCGACACCCTCTCCGGCAAGCCTGTTGGGAAAGGGGAAAGTAAGCAATAATGTCAAAGGACAGACAAGATGTAACATTAACCACCGGGACCATCTAGACTTTTGTGGCCTTCAGTAGGGACTGTCCTCTGGTGGGGTACGTCTGCATCAGAGGTAAAAGGTGGTATTGCTCATTTTTCTTAGCGCATCGGGTTCCAAGAGCTGGAGAAGCTCATCTTTTCCTAGAAAGCTCACAATTTAAGGTATCCTTCTCTCTGCCCTTTTACATCTTGGCGGTCTTTTACACCTTCATCAACTGGGTGCTCCAGCCTTTTGGGGTGAGCTATCTCTTTGAGCCCAAGGAGATGCATGCTGCTCTGAAGAGCAGCACACAACAGGTCCATGTGCTTGTCCTCACCTGCTCTCCTCGCCCTCCAGCAGCTTCCTGTAGGTTGCAATCTCGATGTCCAGGGCCAGCTTGCCGTTCATGAGCTCCTGGTACTCACGGAGCTGCCGGGCCAGGTCAGCCTTAGCCTTCTGCAGAGCATCCTCCAGCTCAGACAGTTTTGCCTTGGCGTCCTTGAGGGCCATCTCCCCGCGTTCCTCTGCCTCGGCGATGGCTGCTTGGAGGTTGGCACACTAAAAGCAAGGGAAACAGATGGGTTTAACTTGGGCCGCCCCAAACTTCTCTCCTGGGTATTGCTATGGTATTGTAGATACTGGCTCTCAGCATGGCACTGAGAGCTACTGATGGGCCACTGGGAAGGTGCTGTAGGGTGGTTAACTGGGGAGCTGCCACCATAATCATGTCCCCCAAGAAAAGGAGAGGCATCTACATCTCTTTGCTTTTCTAGACACCTTTGCTGGGGGGCTTAGTAGCTCACAACTTGCTTCCCCAGCAAGAAAGCGGCTATCACAGCATATCCTTGCACCGAGGGATCTTCTCTGGTGGGCAGAGACAGAGGTGGCCATGCCCTCTTTAATGCAGGGGGGAAGCCTGGCCTTCCAGCCGTGCCCCAGTGCCAGGAGCTGGCTCCTTCCACTGTGCCTGGCCACCATCACCCTCCTACCTGCCCTCCCACCATGCAGCAGCTGCTTTGCAGACGCATCCCCTCCTACCTGTTTCTTCACGCTCTCGATCTCATTCCGCAGCCTCTGGACCATCCGGTTGATCTCCGAAATTTCTATTTTGGTGTTACGAAGGTCATCACCATGCCGCCCGGCGGAGACCTGCAGTTCCTCATACTGGTATGTAGAGAGGAGGAGAGCGCTGGTTAGGAACCACGGGGCTCAGGGAAGGGTGAGGGAACTTCAGGGCACAAAGTGCAGGTCTGGATTCAGGGTAAGGGTGGGGGACAACATTCCTCTGAGCAACCTGCCCATGGAATAACAGCATTTGCCCTTAGTTATTAATATTTGCTAAGGCAGCAGCTATTGCATTGCATAGAGCACCTGTGGGTCATCATCTGCTGTTAAGAACCTGGAAGGGAGAGAGGAATGCTCTGTGTCTAAGGCCAGATCTACCAGTGACTCCTTGTGAGTCCAGGGTCAAGGCATTTAAGCATTTTGTCCCTTGGTTTCACCGCAAGGCTGGTCAAGAGTAGCAGTCCACAAGCAAACACTGGGCATCTGTACGCAAGAGCCTATTGCAACACGCGTAGGAAATTAATTCATCTCTGGTGTAACGCTGTGGTCCTTCCCCCTTTAGTCCTGCCTCCCTGCAGCTAGTGTGATGCCATGGGAATCACAGAAATTCTGGTTACCTACCTTGTTTTGGTACCAAGCCTCAGCCTCGGCCCGGCTCCGGTTGGCAATGTCCTCGTACTGCGCTTTGACCTCTGCAATGATGCTGTTGAGGTCCAAGTTACGGTTGTTGTCCATGGACAGGACCACGGAGGTGTCGGATACTTGCTGCTGCATCTGGGACAATTCCTGCAGATGCAAATAATTAAGTTAATGGTCTGGTATTGGGGTAGAAACCATACAGACAAGAGGTGGCTTGGGAACCCTCTCCCCTGAGCCACTTTCTTGCATTGCCCCCTGCTCGGTCTCTTATCTACCCTTCTCTGTCTTATGCCTGCATTCTGATCTCAAAAAGGCAGTAACCACCTTCTCTGTTACTGCTGTACAGCACTGAGAGTGGTGGCCGGAGCTCCAGGGTGTGGAACTCCACGTGGCAGGCAGCTGTGGAGGATGCTGTCGTGGGGAGAGCTGACTACTTACCGCTTCGTAGAGAGCTCTCAGGAAGTTAATTTCATCTGCCAGTGCATCTGCTTTGGCCTGCAGCTCGACCTTGTTCATATAAGCGCCATCCACATCCTAAAGAAAAGAAAACCAAAGACTTCTGATGAAACCAGAAGCCAAAGGGGCTTCAGAACACCAGTGGGACCACCTCTCTGCTTCCAGGTCTGTTATTCTTTAGGCTTGTTTTTATATTGCTATGATCAAGGTTTTTCTTTTTTTAATGTAATGTGGGACATTTACTGTGAGCCAGAATCAGGTTCTTGAGCAGAAGGCGAAGCTCTGACTCTTGGGGATGTGACCCAAGACAGAACTGAACTGAGCCACAAGAGGCCAGATGGTTTGCAACTGCAACCAGAGGAGCTGTCTTCAGAAAACAGAGCAGCTCCACCGGCATGGAGAGGGTTATGCCCATTCATGGCCTCAGCAGGACCCAGCCCATACTTACCCCGTGCTTACTCCTGGACGTGCCAATGTTGTAGCCTGACCCAACCATGAGGTTGGAGGACCCAAGCTCCCACTAGCTTTGCCTGAACTCTCTGCGTGAAGAGTGAATTTCATTGTCCGTCCCATAACTCCCAGTTCACTCACCTTCTTGAGGACCACGAACTCGTTCTCTGCACCAGTGCGCCGGTTGATCTCGTCTTCATATCTGTTAGGATAAAAGCATGAGAGGGTTTTGGTGGAAATGAAGAGCAAAGCCAGCACGGGAAGCAGAGATGGGACCACTCCAGTCCCACATCATTAGTTGTGGCATGCAGGTATATTCCTTGCTCCCACCATTTTACAGTCCGGAGCAGATGCAGAGCAAACAATTACTGACTCTGAGCCTGCAAGGCTCCGTGGTGTGAGGAGTCCCAGCTAAAATTGCTAGATTTTAATCACTGCCCTTAAAGTCAAGCTCATCCATAAATGTGTGCAGGATCAGAGCCTGTTTCAGTGGGAAGCAGGAGCAGGAATTCTTGGTGACCTTTGCCCGACGCAATGTTATGCAAAAGGCTTTCAACGAAGCTGCATTGCAGTGCCTACAAATATATAATAAGGTAACAATTTGATATTTGATGTTATAATAATGCTGATGGCTCTGAATAACCCACTGCAGCATTTAATTAAAAAAAAAAAAAGTCCGTGATTCTTTAGCCGCGGTTGTGCAAAAGCAGATCATTACGCCTCAGCCTACATTTCTGTGGAAATTTTTATGGCTCTGAGCAACATCCTCTGATCAGATAATCAGGGCAGGGCTTAGCTAGAAAGTAGACAAAACATGTAGGGTGTTGAGGCAAAGACCTGGGTGTTAAAGGCAGGTTTGTGCCAGTCGTCTAACTAATATTGGCAGAGGCATCCCTGCAGATGGATCTCTGAGCAGACACGGGAAGAAGTGGAAATTAGTCAGTGCACTGGGAACCAACTCTTGAAATAAAATGTGTTCTCTTTCCCCAGCAGTAGCTCCAAAATCCAGACAATATCATTTGTCATTTTTGACCCCATCAGTAGTTCTGAAAGCCTGTAGTACATACACACCCAACTACAAGGTGGCAGAAGCTGTGTCAGATCATCCTGTCAGCTCTCCCTGTCCCCCTGCAAAACAAATCTGTCTCTCCACACTCTTACCTATCTAACATCAACATATTTCAGGCCTCCAGGGTGTTTTTCTCAAATGTGCACTTGGCCAGATCTGATTGAATAAGGGAGAGATTGTTCTCACCAGACTACAGCCAACTAAAACCGAACGGCCTCGCCTAGAAAAACCACCTCAATGTCCCCTCCAGTCAGCAGACACCGACTGGCATGTCCTTAACATGATTCATCCCACCTCTGCTGCACACCTTGTCTCACGATGGGGTTAATTGCCTTCCCAGGCAATTTTTCGTTGTTTTCTTTGACAATGGTCAGAGAAAATAGCTGAGCATCTTTCATGTGATCAGAGCTGAAGTGGGGCCAAGTGCACACAGGTCGCCTGGGGCTCTCTAAAAAGCCTGGGATTTCCTTTGCAAAAAGAGAAATGGGGGATTTGGGGGCCGGCAGTTTATGGCTGCGTTTCATTCCCTTTTTGCATGTCCATTACACTCATGAGTTACACGTTTTTCTGTCTCCAGGTGTATTATTTTGGGGGACTCAAGGGATCAGACTTCGTTACACTGGAGCAGCTTCCCATGGGTGCATGAATTCTGTGCTAAACGCTGATCCTGCACGTGAGGAATCTGACATAACTAGAGATAATTCTGAGATCAAGTTTTGCTTTTAAATGTTCATTTTGCAAACTAGAAGAGGAGCCCAGTGCAAACACAAGGTGTGCACCAGCAAGCATGAACCGCCTGCCCTGATTTTCCTGTCTATTAATCATTTACGCTACAGAGCACAATTTCTTACTTGTTCTTAAAGTCTTCCACCATGTCCTGCATGTTCCTCAGTTCAGAGTCCAACCTTCCCCTCTCTCCGATAAGACTGTCTAGCTGCCGTCTGAGGTTGTTGATGTAGGCTTCAAAAAGTGGCTCAAGGGACTTCCTGGTGACTGTGTGACCTTGCTCTTGGAGGAGGCTCCACTTGGTCTCCAGCACTTTGTTCTGCTGCTCCAAAAAGCGCACCTAGGGAGAAACAAAACCAGGCACATGCTGAAGCCCGTGTGAACAACGCACAAAGAAAACCCTGCTGCCAGGAAAAGGAGGGGTCATTCAACACAGAAAGAAAAGGTCACAACATGCTGGGACAGTTGGGGGGAAATTATTAGGATATTCCTAATTTTGGGCACCAGATTCTTGAAAGTATCAAAAGCAGCTAAGATGTTTAACAAGATTTTTCGAGAGCTATTCAGCAGGCCAAACACATGTATTTGCAACTCTAGGTGTTTCTCCCCCCACTAGATGCTCAGCCCACCTTACTGGTTTAAATTGGTGTTATCCCATTGAGCCGTGTAGAGCTTTGCCATTTAACAACCAGTAGAAGATCCATCCAGCCCCCGGGGTGTTTTTTACAGCGAGGAGGGGGATTTACCTTTTCAATAAAATAAGGCACTGAAAAACATCCTTGCAAAGAGGAAACATAAGGCAGTTCTTAGTTTTCAGCCAAACCCACGTCGTTTGTCGGCTGCGATTAGCTCAGGCAAGCCCCTATATCCAAAGGAAGTTTCTTCCTGTCGTTCTCTCCCGAGGCAACTGATAATATGCATGGGTTGAAGTTTTAAGATCAAACTCTCACCTTGTCGATGAAGGAGGCGAATTTGTTGTTGAGGGTCTTGATCTGCTCCCGCTCCTGTGTTCGCACCTTCTGGATTTCCGGGTCGATATCCAGCTTGAGGGGTGCCAGGAGGCTCTGGTTGACGGTCACTTCGTGGATACCACCAGGTGGGATAACAGGGAAACCGGGGCCACCTCGACCACCAAATCCGGGACCTCCCATCCCAAATCCACTGCCCAGCCCATAGCTGCCACCACCACCTCCTAAGCCAAAACCAGCTCCTGCTACACCAAGACCAAAGCCAGCTCCTCCACTAAAGCCATATCCACCACCGGCTCCACTCCGTAGACCACCAACTGAGCTGTAGGAAATTCTTTTGCTTCCACCTAGGTTATAGAGACTTCGGCTGCCAAAGCCACCACCAGCTCTGAAGCCTTCTCCACCTCCGGCTCTTCCTCCTCCAACTCTGGAGACAGAGACGGAGCTAAAACTGCTTCTGGGACCACTGCCACCTCCTACGATAGCAGAGCCTGAGCTAAAGCCTCTCATGGTCCCTCCAGTAGATGATCTGTAAGAGATCCGACTCATGGTGGCTTGTTCAATTGGAAATGCAAAGAGCAGGAGAGGGGAGCGGAAAAAAAAGGCTGGTGAATAAAAGCTGCGTGGCAGGAAAAGAGCAGAGGGCAATGGAGACAGAAACCCCTGTGATGGGAGAGCTTGGGAGCCTCCTCTTTTATCTGCTTGGAAAACTTGGCACGGGAATTCAGAACTTGACGTGCCTTGCAGCAACTTGCCTTGTCAAACACACCTAGGCTACAGCGAGGTGCTGAAAAATGCATTGTTTGCAGGCAAGAAAGTAACGGAGTGAGGGAGCTCCCCCCTCTACCAAAGCCGGCCGCTCTGAGTCATGAAATTAGAATTGAATGGGACGGCTCGCTGAGGTCTGCGCTCAGGAGCAGGATGCAACACGATTCTCCCAAGACCCTGCGAGCTGGTTTTCCTTGGCGAGCCACGGGCTCATTCCGAGTAAGATCCCTTGGCACTGAAGATTTTGCAAGGCGAAGTTTAGGGTTTAACACGTTGCACAGCAAACAGGGCAGCATAAACAGGGGCTTTGCTGAGGCTGCCAGCTCTGGGGCTGAAGGTCCATGCCCTGTTGTTGGCTTGGGAAAGCTGAGGTTGAAGGTGCTTTTACTTATCAATGCAGGTCTTTTGGTTTCTTTCAGAAAAGGGACATAACCGTGGGCTTGCAGAGAATAGCTGAGCGGAGATTGCCTCGTGGTAGCGTTCTCCGGGATCTTACCAAAAAAGTTGTCTCCCCTCGTTGCAGGGGAAATGGAGAAGTGAGGTAGCATGGCTTTCAAAGGCAGCAAGTAAATCTCTTTTCCAAGGTAACTTCAAATGACATTAAGTACTACTATGAGACTTATAAAATAGTTATTAAAAAGATGCTTGAAATGATTGCTCTTCTTTTGAACCTCCTTCTCGGGCTCAGGGTTCAAAAGCTCCCTGTGAAGTGGTATTTTTATCACTTCCCCCCCCCCCCCCCCATATTTAACCAGCAGTTTCCACATCATTGCTGGCTCTCCAAGACATTCTGTGCAGGGGAATTCACCCATTTTTCTTCCAGCACTCTCCCACCCCCTCCTTCTCTCTGCTGAGATCATTCAGCCCCTGAGGAAGACTTTTCTAAAATAGCTTTTGCTCCTTGATCTTGGGCTCTCGGGTGAACCCTTGCACGGGAGCTTCAGTCCCCCCGGTGAAGCTGGGTTGTGCTTTAGGATAGCGTAAAGGCGGGAGAGCCGGGGACCTCTCCTCTTGTGTCCACGAATTGCTGGACACAGGTTACAAGGGAAGATATCCCCTCCCTCCCACCCCAAATACTTCTGCAAACTGGACTCTGCCCAGCTGCATCCTTGTGCCGCGATGGCTGCCTGCCTCAGTCGCGTTACGCGTTGAATAAAATGGCACAAGGCAGAGAGATGAAACCCCAAGCAGGGAAATGACAAAGATTCTCGAAATCGGCTACGTGAGCAATAAGTATGGGAGCTTAATCCAAAAAGAGCGGCTTAAGGGTATCTGCTGCATCTCATAGCTTGTTTCTGTTGATGCCTTTCCAACCGCCGTTTTCTCTGTCTGGGAACTTGAAAGAACCTGAGCAGAAGGGTTGGGTGGTTGGGTTTTTTTTTTTTTGTGTGTATTGTTTTTTTTTCTCATTGCAATCAGAAAAAGCCAGCGCTCACAACTATCATCTCCTGCAAGCACTCCCGTTGCTGCTTATTGCCAATAGCGTGAGTCACCGGCACCCGCAGCGCCGTCGGGCAAGCTGTCGGGAAGCCACTCCTTGGACGGGCTGTTGCAAGGCACCCTCCCGCTGAAAGGGAGACGGCTGGGCGGTAGCAAGGGGGTGCTCTCGACTCGGGAGTGGAGATGTGGGAACCTCCTGGGTGCTGGAAACGCGGAATTTTGCGCGGAAAACTGCACCCATGCTCCCACGTCCAGAGACAACGAACCCCCGTCTCGCAGGTGTTGCACGGCGGAAGGCAGCCTCACTCAGAACACCACCGGGGCTACTGAAAATACATAAATTCTGTTACAAGCCTGGCAGATGTATAGAGATTTGCTTTCCTAAGCCCACAGATGTGAACTGGCACATGTGTGCCGGATCATGCATGGGGGTCAGGCAGGGAGCCTGCCTTTGGCTCCCAAAAAGCTATGCAAAGTCACACCTGGGAACCAGAGCACAGGCTGCAAATGGTTTAATTAAGGCAAGGAGAAAGGATTCATGTTGAAGGCAGTCATTACCTCCCCAGCGCTTCTAGGAAAGCCTGTTGCTGCAGACAACGGTAATTAAGTGTAATATTACAAAGAAATTTGGAGGAGTAAATCAAAAGATTGTTCAGGCACCAAAACAGGGAAAATTCTGGCAGCATCTCCCCGTCCCGCACAGTTTCGTGCGCGGCTTCTGTCGCTCATGTGCTCCTGAAGCTGCTTGGGGTCGCAGGTGGGATGTGTTTGCCCCCTCAGACGAGGTGTTGCCTGCAGCGGGGATCAATTTGGGAGGCAGGATTTGCTGCAGAGGGGTTGCCTGGAGGGTGAGGGCACTGCAGGGGGGGGCAGGCGGGCTGGGGCCGCAGAGCAAAGGGAGGAGGAACGGGGCCAGCTGAGGTGTTTGCAGGAGCTCAGCTGCTTGTGAGCCCTGCTTTTGGACTGTTATTTGCTTTTTGTTTTTTCAGCACAGGCTGGAAGAAAGGCATTCAAAACTTCTAAGGTTAGTTAAGGTGAGGTTGTCATTAACTGTGTTAATGCCTCACACTTGTGCTGTGTAATTCAGTATTCGCACAGGCGGGAACAGAAATCGAAGTGACTCAGAGTTTATTTTTAACCTTCACTGATTTTTGGCCTGTCTGCCTGCAGCATCCTCTGCGACAGGAGGGACCAAGGAGTTGGGGTTTGTCCCCAGATTTTGGTCTTTCTTAATGCAGCCACTTCAATTTTCTGGCTGAAGGGAGGTTAGATGCTCCCATGTTTCGGTGCGCTTGGGTTTCAGTGAGGTTTTGCTGAAGCGGTTGTGAGCGTCTGCCGTAAACCTGCGGGGCTGGCATGTACTTGCTTGCTCTTCCCCATTTTCTGCACTGAGTTATGTAAAGCCGGGATGTTGAGAGGTCAGGGAAGAGCAAAGTGTCTGACTCTTTGAAATGCAATAAGGTGTGAGTGTTTGTCTGAGGGCTTTTTCCCCTTTTTTTCTTTTTTATTCTCCTTTTGCAGTGATGGCTGACCAAAATACCTGCATTGGTTGGTGAGTTGCTCTGCTCTGGCTCACCAAAACCCATCCTCAATCTAGATCGTCCTGATAAAATCCTCTGCCAGAGCCCTGCATGTGCTTGGCTTTGCTATGTCTTTTTAAGACAGCAAAAATGAAATACTGGGGGTTTGCTGGAGCTAGCAGGGCTGTGCAAACCCCTCCCTTCCATGGAAGAAAGGCTTTTGGATGAACCCAAATCATATCTTAAGAAATCACAGAATCCCAGAATCCCAGCATGGCAGGGGTTGGCAGGGCCCTCGGGAGCTCACGCAGTCCCACCCCCCTGCTCAAGCAGGCTCACCCACAGCAGGGGACACAGGACAGCATCCAGGCGGGGGTTGAATATCTCCAGAGAAGGAGACTCCACAGCCCCCCTGGGCAGCCTGGGCCAGGGCTCGGGCACCCTCACAGTCAACAAGTTCTTCCTCACGTTCAACTGGAACCTCTTCTGCTTCAGGTTGTGCCCATGGCCCCTTGTCCTGGTGCTGGGCACCACTGGGAAGAGTCTGGGTCCGTGCTTGTGACCCCCACCCTTGAGATATTTGTAGGTGTTGTTGAGATCCCCTCTCAGCCTTCTCTTCTCCAGGCTGAACAAGCCCAGCTCCCCCAGCCTTTCCTCGTAGGGGAGATGCTCCAGTCCCCCCATCATCTTTGTTGCCCTCCCCTGGACTCTCTCCAGTAGTTCCTCGTCCTCCTTGAATGGGGGAGCCCAGAACTGGATGCAGTGCCCCAGGTGGGGTCTCACCAGGGCAGAATATGAATGTTTTTATCACTCCACCCTCCTCCTCCTCCTCCTCCTCCTCCTCTTTTCTCCAATTCTTCATTTTGTTTTGGGACAACTGGTTTCAAGCTTTTCATTATAATCGTGTCAGAATTTCGAAACTTTCACCTCAAAGTAGAGCAAAAGCCCCCTCCATCTCACTCTGCTGAAGGTTTGGGAGTATTTCACACTGTTCTGGTTTAGAATAAAAAAATGTAGGAACAAATAAATTACAAACCGGTTTTATTGGACACGTTCCAAAAAGGGAGAGGAAGGAAAACACAGCATCGTATCGCTGTCGGTGAAGTATAAAAAGCTGTAATTTTCTTTTTTAACGGTACGTTCACAAAAATAAAGAGACATGGTGGGAGGCCAGAGGGGTAAATTCCATCAGAAAAGGGGAAAGTAGATTTTGGGCACAGGTGTGCCTGGCCTCCTGCTCCCAATTGCCTCGTCTCCCGTGTGCTGGGTTGACACCTGACTGCACTTTCCAGTTTACCAAATGTCTGCCTTTTGGCAGAGAAACCCACTCGTCGTGGAGATACTGAAAGGCCCCCAGGAGCAGTGTGGACGTGGCCCTTCAGGCGCTTTTTTGCGGTGTAATTTTCCCCGTCTCAGACTTTCACCTTGACTGCTGCTGCCGAGGCAGCGGGGAAAGCCAGCGAGATGCAGACTGTTGGATGACTTTTGGCATTTTTTTAAGACATTCCCACAAAACCTAGCATGAGACCGGGCAGCAACCGGATTTAACTGCAAACGCTGATCTTGCTTTTGAAGAACTCTCTGTCTTGGTCATTATTTAGAAGGAAAAAATCCTATCATTTAGAGAACAAGCTCTTTCTGTCATGCTTTGGATCAGTCCCTGGTGGCGCCTCTGACAAAATACACCCACACGATTGCATGTAAGGTGCCGCAAACGTTCATTTCGGAAGAGAAGGGACGGGAATGGGAGAGCAGCTTGGGCTTCCTTTTAGATGAGCTCGTTGCAAGCTGACCCTGCATCCCTGCGGGTCGTACTTCCCAGGCAGAGGTGTCGCAGGTTGCTTCCCTAACGCTGTGCTCAGAGCCGCTGGCCAGGCTCGCGCGCCCGATGGCACACAGCTGCAATGCGCAGCACATCTGGAAGAAACATGGGTTTTTCAAAGCTCGGCTGTGACTGGGGGAAAAAAAGGGATTTTCCATTGCATTCGAGTGACTCAGAAGTGACTCCTGATGGTCCCATAGTAAGGGGTGTCATAAGAGGGGCCCCACGCTTACAAACCACCACCTGGGATCTTTCAGCAATCTCCTGGGGTGCTTCTACATAGCAGAAAAATAACCCGCACCTCTGATAAAGATGAGTTGATTAATTGGAGGAGCAAGTTTGGTTCATCCCAGCAGTGAAGACAAAGCAAGCTGAACTGAAGCCAAGTTCCCAGCCCATGCTTGGGCTTCTGTGGGCCAGAACTGAGCCAAAAACCTGAGTTACTGCATCTTCACTGCTATTTGAGCTGTCTTAGCTGATGGCTGTCAGCTGGCCATGATTACAAACTGCTCAGCCTCATTAAAAGCAAACAAATGAACAAAAAATGCCCAATTCCCCATTCAGAAAACCACTTAGGCCTGTGTTTGCCTTTTAATCCTGTTTCAGGTACTTTGAGGGATCTGTTTAGCACGTGCTCCACAGCTTTTCTTGAACTGCGATCCAAATGCTTAAGAACTACGGTGCGAGGAGCCGGGACAGACACGGGCGGAGGGGATGGTGATGTGCAGGAGTGATACAGGAGTAATGCAGGAGCGATGTGGGAGTGATGGTTTTGGGGAGGCTCTGGTGTTGGTTTTACTCGGGCTGTGTAGCATTCTTCAGGCTTTGGCTTTTTATGCTCTTTTTGCTGGAGGAGGTTTTGGAGACAATTTTCACACCTGGGTTGGTGCCTTTTCCACTTCCAGAGCTGAAATTCCCTCCGCTGGTGCTCAGGCTGCTGCTGCCACCTCCTCCATAGCCAAGGCGGCTTGCAGTGCCGAGACCACTGCCTCCTCCAAATCCACCTGTGAGACCACCACCACCCCCAAGTCCAAGTCCTCCTCCGCTTCCAAAGCTGTAGCCTCCTCCACCACCACCTCCAAGACCAAAACCTGTTCCGCCGCCTCCTCCAAGACCAAAACCGCTTCCACCACCTCCTCCAAGACTGAAACTGCTTCCGCCACCTCCTCCGCTTAGGCTCAGTCCACCAAATCCTCCTCCTAACCCAGCTCCACCACCAGCCATGCCAGAGCTGGAGCTGATGACAGCTGGAAAAAAAAAGAAGCAACCAGAAGGTTGGACATCTGCTTGGCAATCACCCAGTTCCAGAAAGCACCGTCATCAGGACCTGGACCTACAGGACTTGAACCCAACCCTGTGCAAGCCACTAATGCTGGCGGTAGGCTCTGAACATCTCATACTGGGCAAAATGTGCCTTTTCCCAAGGTTGCTCACAGCTTCTGCTCCCAGTGGGCCCAAAGCAAGACAAGCACTGTGGTACTTACAGTAGCTGATGGGGTTGAGTCCCTCTCCACTCAGCCTGTTGGAGGGCAGATAAAGGGGACGTTAGAGCAAAATGAAGGAGACAAGCAGGGGGACCAACTACTGGCAGGGGCAAAGCGATAGTCGCTGTTATTCCCACAGGGATTTTGCTCCCACCTGCTCTCCTCGCCCTCCAGCAGCTTCCTGTAGGTCGCGATCTCGATGTCCAGGGCCAGCTTGACATTCATGAGCTCCTGGTACTCGCGGAGTTGCCGGGCCATGTCAGCTTTGGCTTTCTGCAGGGCATCTTCCAGGTCAGCCATCTTTGCCTTGGCATCTTTGAGGGCCAGCTCCCCACGCTCCTCGGAGTCTCCGATGGCCGTCTGCAGGGTGGCACACTGCAAGGAGAGGGGTTGGGACTCCTAAATGCTGCTCTTCTTTTTGGGTAAGAGTCACCCAAGGAAGAAAACCATTCTGGTTGGGATGTTAATGAAAAAAGTTATGACTGAGATCATTCCCCCATAGCTAACATTGCTGGAATTGAAATGCCAGCCTGGCAAGACCGATTTAATAGGTGGTAGAGTGTGGTGCCCTTTTCAGGAGGGAATTCAACACGTTTAATGAGGTACATCATACTCTGTGGCTGCTAAAGTCCCTGATCAGCAAAGCAGAGCTGCAGTGTTAACAGACTGCAGAATGGGGCTCTGCAGGCTCCTTTTGCCATTCCTACCTGGTTCCTCGTGTTCTCTATCTCTGACCGGATCCTCTGGATCAGCCGGTTGAGCTCAGAGATTTCACCCTTTGTGTTGCGCAGGTCATCCCCGTGCTTCCCAGCTGTGGCCTGCAGCTCCTCAAACTGAGGTTCAGAAGGAAGAGTAAACCATCTGAGATGTCCAGGTGGACAAGATGTGGCTCAAACAGCCTCGTATAGGGACAGCAGTAATGCATCCGTGGCATCTATGGGTCTGTTCACCTTGGTTTGGTACCAAGCCTCTGCCTCGGCCCGGCTCCTGTTAGCAATGTCTTCGTACTGAGCTTTGACTTCAGCTATGATGCTGCTGAGGTCCAGGTCGCGGTTGTTGTCCATTGACAGAATGACAGCGGTGTCGGACACTTGTGCGCTGAGCTGAGCCAGTTCCTGCGAGGAAGCACACGGGATCCCGGGACAGCTGCACTTACCTTTTCAAATGCCATGAATGATGGTGGTCACTGTCCAGGGGATAACAGGACAGAAATCAGGGGAGGAGGGTGTCTGTACCGCATCGTAGAGGGCTCGGAGGAAACTGAGTTCATCGGTCAGGGCATCCACCTTGGCCTCCAGTTCCACCTTGTTCATGTAAGCAGCATCCACATCCTGGAAAAGAGCAACCATGGGGACGTCTACAGCACCTGGTATCTCTTTAGCTCAGCCACAAACTGGTCAAGCCTGGAGATGAGGCTGTCCCTTTTCACTGACTGGAGAAGCTGTGCTTGGCACATCCCCCTGGAAGGAGCACCAAGAGGACAACTCTTGGCCAAAAGGAGTGCTGTGTGTAACTTTGTTGGTGTATAAGGACGGGAGTGCAGGCCATTTGGCCTTGGCTCCTGGGGTTCCCAGCACTGATGACTATCTTTGATTCTGCACAGTCTGTTTGGCCCAGGCAACCACGTGTGTGTCTTGCAGGACAGGAGTGGGACAAGAACTCACTTCTATCCTCCAACCCCTCCATTTCTTTCCCCCAAAACCACAATCCAAATGACGGCTTTGAAAGGATGAGGATGCAGCTCCATGAGATCACCCATCCCTTAGGACTCTCGCAGCCTGTGCAATGGTTAAGCTTAGCTCAGCATCCATAACATCTCCTGTCTCACCCACCTTTTTCAGCACCACAAATTCATTCTCTGCTGCTGTGCGTCGGTTGATTTCTTCTTCATATCTGCAGGGATAAAGTGAAAGACTTGCTGGATCATACATTGGTAATCAGGTAGGATTGCAAGTCTATCTGGGCTGGGTATGGCATTTCCAAACTGACTTCCTGTGACAATCTCATTTCTCAAAAGGTTGAAATTGAGGGTGCCCGAGCCCTGGCCCAGGCTGCCCAGGCGGGCTGTGGAATCTCCTTCTCTGGAGATATTCAACCCCCGCCTGGCCGCTGTCCTGTGCCCCCTGCTCTGGGTGAGCCTGCTTGAGCAGGGGGGTGGGACTGGGTGAGCTCCTGAGGTCCCTTCCAACCCCTGCCGTGCTGGGATTCTGTGAAATGATATTTTGCAGATGAAACCAGGAGGGTAAAGCTTCTTTAGGTTTTTTTCCTTTGCAAGTGTCATCACAAGTTGCTGTGCCCTGGCTGAAACCTGTGTTTTCTGATTGGAAAAACCTTTCTGCTGCTGTCAAGGAAAGCAGGGCTTCTTCTGGGAGAGGCACCTCACAGGGGTGGTGTATTAAAGGGAGATTAGTTAGGTACCACGTTATGGGCTAGAGCACAGACTGGAGATATATTTTTTTCCCTTTCCTGTAGAAAGTTTGATGAATATCTCAGGCTAGATGTTTTACTTGCAGAAAGCTAAATGTAAATGAGATTAATCCTACTGCCTAATGCTAAGCTGAAGCATTTGCATCCTGCTTCACCCCAGGGTGCCTGGATGTGCCGCTAACAGGCGCTCACTTGTTCTTGAAATCCTCAACGAGGTCTTGCATGTTCTTCAGCTCTCCGTCCATGCGTCCTCTCTCGTTGAGCAGGTTGGCCAGCTGCCGTTTCAAGTTGTTGATGTAAGCCTCAAAGAGTGGGTCCAGGTTGTTTTTGCCCGAGTTGTTTTTTTGGCCCTGGTCCTGCAGGAGGGTCCATTTGGTCTCAAGCACCTTGTTCTGCTGCTCCAGGAAGCGAACCTGAGCATTGGGAAGTAGGAGAAGCTTAGCAGAAGATACCTGTGAGCATGCTGATAGCCGATAGTCAGTAACTGGGACTGATGCACAGCCCAAACCAAGGAAATCCCAAACCCAAGAGCATTAAATCCAGCTGTGAATGTTCTCCAGATTATCTAGGCCTATGTTAGCCCATCCTGTCGCTCAGCAAATCTGCCCTCAGTGGACAGTTCTCTTTAAAGACAATTTAATTTAGCAAGCCAATGAGCAAGCATTAGAAAATGTGGGTTCAGCTCTTTAATCACTTGCTTTCTTTAACATCCTCTGGTTTTTCTCCCTTTGTAAGAGATATTTATCTTCCTTCATTAAAGCTAAGATCCGAGAACTACAGGTTAAAAGACAAGTACTTAATTGCCTTTCCTTTTGCACATATACACTGCATATTTACCCAAGTAAAAGCCAAGGAAAGACTTAAGTTGAGTAAATAGAAAAAGGACCTTAGCTTGCAGGCAGGAAAGCAGGAAGGACTAACACATCGGCTGTGATCCCCCATGGAGCACGCTGGGTTAAGCAGCCAGGCCTGGACCTGAAACTGGCTTATTCTGTTTGAATTAATATATCTTGTTTCTCAGGCACAAAACCTGGATCTAATCCTCTTATTACCAGTTACTGATGTCTACTTTTCTGCTTCTAACTGTTTAGAGGAATGTTCTTTTCTGATTACTTTAATGAAGACCGGCAGATAGGAAATAGCAATACAGTCGACTGCAGATCTATGAAGTCGTATTTTTGTAGCTACAGGGCTGTCTGGCTTCCTCTCTATCATGATTCCACAGCACTTGATGAAGTCTCACCTTGTCAATGAAAGAAGCGAACTTGTTGTTGAGGGTCTTGATTTGCTCCTTCTCGTCTTTTCGCACCTGATGGATGTTTGGATCTATCTCCAGGTTCAGCGGTGCCAGGAGACTCTGGTTGACAGTCACTTCTTGGATTGTACCAACTCCAGGTGGGCCACCACCAAATCCCATTGGGTTTCTGCCACCACCCAGCCCTCCACTGAATCCTCCCAACCCCCCTACTCCACCAAAGCCAAACCCTCCACCACCTCCCTGTCCACCACCAAAGCCAAGCCCACCAGCACCTCCACCAAAGCCATATCCACCACCTCCACCACCAAGACCAAGTCCAAGACTGCCACCAGCTCCCCCCCCACCAAGTCCACAACCACCTCCCAGGCCAGAGCCACCACCAGCTCCGCTCCCAAAAGCAGCTCGGAAGTTGCTTCCAACACCGATGGATATCCTCTTGCTACCACCAAGGTTGTAGAGGCTCCTGCTGCCAAAACCACCACCAGCACCGCCACCTCCTCCGATGAGCCTTCCAAAACCACCGCCACCTCCTCCAGATCGTGCCACAGACATTGAACCAAAGCCAGCCCTGTTGCCACTTGGAATAATAGCTGAGGCAGCACTGTAAGATCTGCCTCCACCTCCTGCTCTCATGCTGTAAGTTTGCCGGTTCATTGCGGCAGGAGATAACAGCCCGGAACTGGTGAGAAGCAGCAAGCTGGGAGAGTGCAGGTCTCTGATGAGAAGGAGTGCAGGATGCCCTTTTTATCCCTCTGGGGATCTGGGCTTGGTTGCATGGAAGTCCAGTGATCAATTTAGTGCCTTCATGGTTTTGACGTGCCAGGCAGCCACCTGTCTTACTGAAACTTGTTAAACACTGATTGCACTCCAACACACCTACTGGAGCCAGTGTGAATCTGCTCAGCCAGAAGAGTTATCTAACCCCTGGATTTTTGGCAGGGAGAGCTCAGCCTTGGTGCAAAGCCTCTGTATGCTTGCGGAGATGTTTTGTGTTATTTTCTTGCTGCAAAGCAAATGGAAAGAAACAAAAAGGAGTGAAAAAGAGACCTGGCTACCCATGCTACCTCTGAGATGCAGTACGGCACATCAGTACAGAGCTTAGTGGGGAGCCCTCTGAATTCATCTGAGTGAAAGGCAGTGAGATTAAAATGGCCAAATCTGAACATCAAATTTTCACGGGGCTTATTCGTCTGAAGGCAAAGTGCGGGTGCGACATTCATGAAGCCTGACCTCTCTTTCAGGGCTCTAATTTATCCAGTTTGCCTATTCAGATTTTCCTCGAAGACACTATGTTTAAACGCCACCTCAAATTTTGGCCATTTAGTATCAGGTATTTAGTCTGTAGCAGGACTGAGGGGGATCTCATGAACACGTAAAATATCTGAAGGGTGGGTGTCACGAGGATGGAGCCAGACTCTTCCCAGTGGTGCCCAGCGCCAGGACAAGGGGCAATGGGCACAACCTGAAGCAGAAGAGGTTCCAGTTGAATGGGAGGAAGAACTTGTTGACTTGGAGGGTGCCCGAGCCCTGGCCCAGGCTGCCCAGGGGGGGTGTGGAGTCTCCTTCTCTGGAGATATTCGACCCCCGCCTGGACACTGTCCTGTGCCCCCTGCTCTGGGTGAGCCTGCTTGAGCAGGGGCGTTGGGCTGGGTGATCTCCCGAGGGCCCTGCCAACCCCAGCCATGCTGGGATTCTGGGATTCCCAGGCTTCCTTTCTAGAGGTAGTGGCATCTCCACAGGACAACTCCATCCCACCCAGAGGTTGTCGTTGCAATATCTCCAGCCAACTGATGATGGGATCAACGCATTTTCATCTTGAACTCAAAAGCATTTCAATAAAGGAGGCGGATTTTCTGAAAAACGCTTTGCCCGACTCTGTGGAACGGTATTATTTGCATGCTAGCATTAAGATGCAATAATTCTTGAGCTTCTAGCTTTTTACAGCTGTGATTTCTTTTACAGACCTTTGAACCTTTCCATTCAAAATGTTGCCAAAAGCAAAGATTTAACCAGCATGAAAAACACTCCCACAAATTCTTGTTATTTTACTTCCTTGGGAAAAAGAGCAAATTCAGTCGGATGCAGTGACATTTTCTGGCCTCTCAGACTTTGTGGAATTGCAATGTTTAGAGTATTTTATCCTTTGTATTTAAGAACTCCGTTCATTTTCAGCTTGTTGCTGTCCTGGTGGCATTGCCCGTGCTGTGCGCATGACTGGAGCTTAAACATATTTGCAGGACAGGCCTCTACGTGCCCTTCAAAATGCATTCATGTGCCCCAGTGCTACAAAGGACGAGCTAAAAATCCCACTGGCATCTCTGGAAGAAAAATTAAGCAGGACCTTTGTGTTTTACCAAATAGAGAACACGAAATCTCTGATTATACCTGGAGAGATGCTGTCAGGTTGGCTCAAGCCGGAGAGTTGGGTCCCTCAAAGAGACTTTCCCATTGCAGCGTGGAATTCCTGGTTGGTATATGTCGGCTTGCTTCTCTCTGGAAAATCTTGGGCTGAATCTGCCTGGGATGTCACCTGAAATTCATTAACATCTATTGCCTTCATTATTTGCATAAAATTCAAAGCCCGGGTGCGATGGGAAAATGAGATTGTCTTCATGCTTTCTTGACCCCAGTGAAGGCAGGTTGTCCTGAAGCTGACAAACAGGTTCAGATCAGATATTAGACCTGAATTAATATAATGGGATTAAAGGTGGGGCTGCCAACAAGAAAGAGGGAATTGTCACATTAGGCTCCCACACTCTTCTTCATCCAGCCCACTGTCCACAAGGAATGCGAGCGATGCAAAGGCTGGGTGAAAAATGCACCATTTCTTTACCAGCCTGCTTTATTGTGTGGAGGAGCTCGGGTTTGTGGGCTCCAGACCCAGAGGCAGATGTGGCTTTTTGCATCTGTCAGCTTGGATCAACTCTACGAGACTCTCAACCTACAAACGGGCATGTCTGGAATGGCACCGAGCAGGATTTGGCCCCAACTGCCCCAAAAAACTTTTTCCTGGCCTTTTTTTTTTTTTCTCCAAAATAGCCTGATCTACATGAACATTTTCAAGTAGGCAGCAGAAAACATGGGTTTTGCAATACTCAGGGGTTGAGAAGGGCAGAGATGATTAAAGGTATTCTCCCAGAAATGCAAGAGCTGCTGGGCTGCTTTGGTACCCTGGGGAGCTGGCTGGTTCTTGGTGTGCAGGGAGGAGACCAACATAAATTATGAGCGGCTGGAGCAGTGGGAGCTTCTTGTTTGGGTGTTTCTGCTTGTTATTTACATAGAAATGAGATGAAGTCCGAGTTGTATGCACAGAGACAGAAAAGGTGGCAATAACCTTTGGGAAAAACATCCTCTTCTAGGTGGGTGGGTTTTGCCTTCTCAGCAAGGGCTGATCCATTTGGATTTCAGCACCCCCCGGCCCAGCCAGTGTTGATAGTGTTGTCCATGTCATTTATTAAAAGTGTCCTGGTTTCAGCTGGGATAGAGTTAATTTTCTTCATAGTAGCTAGCATAGTGCTGTGTTTTGGATTTAGTACCAGAAGAATGTTGATAACACACTGATGTTTTTAGTTGTTGCCGAGTAGTGCTCAGACTACTCAAGGACTTTTTGAGTTTCTCCTGCTTGGCCAGGGGCATAACAAGCTGGGAGGGAGCACAGCTAGGACAGCTAACCCAAACTGACCAAAGAGCTATTCCATACCACAGAACGTCATGCTTGGGGGGGTTAGTCGGTCGGTCAGTTGCGGGGAGAGTGATCGCTGCTCAGGGACTGATCACTGCTCGGGACGGGCTGGGCATCGGTCGGCGGGTGGTGAGCAATTGCATTGTGCATCATTCGTTTTGTATATTCTGTATATTCTGTTACCATTCTTATTATTACTATTATTGTTATTTTCTCTTATTAAACTCTCTTTATCTCAGCCCGCGGCTCTAACCTTTTTTCTCCTTCCCCATTCTCTCCCCCATCCCACTGAGGGAGGGGGGAGTGAGCGAGCGGCTGCGTGGTGCTTAGTTGCCAGCCAGGTTAAACCACGACAAAAAGATAATTAGTGATCTGCTACCTGTGGAGCACATGCAACAAACCACGGAGAGCCTTGAATCCACCGCGCTCAGCCCAGCCTCCGTGGCTGGGAGAGAAGCAGAGGCAGATGCTCAACCCGCGGGAACCAGCGGTGGGTTCATCACCGCCGCGCTGGCGTGGGCAGACTGAGCGTGGCAGGGTATTTGAACTCACCCTCCAGCCGTGGAGAGGCTGGGGCAGACAAGCTGTGAGTCAGTGGAAGTGGAGTGGGACGTCGGGGAATGAGTTGCAACACCAGGTCCTCGGCATACTTTCCATGGGGTAAATTAACCGGCCCCCACCCGATGCGGCTTCCAGACTGGGTGAGGAGAGACAGATTTCTCCAAAGGGCAATTCAGAGCCAAGGTGTCTCAGGGGCTTTCGGCTGCCCCCAGGCAAGCTGTGAGAGGGAAGAAGCCAGCAGGGCCAGCTGGTTTTCCCGGCATCCAGCTGTGCATCCAGCTGTGATGAGTGCCATCATGGCAAGCCCTTTCCAGCCATGTTTTCACAGAATCACAAGGGTTGGAAGGAACCTGGGGAGATCATCTAGTCCAACCCCCCCTGCTAAAGCAGGTTCTCCTAAAGCATGTTACACAGGACTTCATCCAGGTGGGGGTTGAATATCTCCAGAGAAGGAGACTCCACAGCCCCCCTGGGCAGCCTGCGCCAGGGCTCGGGCACCCTCCAAGTCAAGAAGTTTTTCCTCATATTCAACTGAAACATCTTATGTTTCAGTTTGTGCCCATTGCCCCTTGTCCTGGCGCTGGGCACCACTGGGAAGAGTCTGGCTGCATCCTCGTGACATCCACCCTTGAGATATTTGTACATGTTGATGAGATCCCCTCTCAGTCTTCTCTTCTTCAGGCTGAACAAGCCCAGCTCCCTCAGCCTTTCCTTGTAGGGGAGATGCTCCAGTCCCTTTATCATCCTAGTTGCTCTCCTCTAGACTCTTTCTAGGAGTTCCTCATCTTTCTTGATGGAGAGCTTTCACCATCCCTTGGAAACTGGGGACCCTCGCAGAGAAAAGGGTGGGGGCAACCTGATCTCACCGAAATCCCAGTGATCCTAAAATGATGGGAGAGGGGGTTTCCCCTCCCTGCAAGGGATGTTGGAGGGGAATGTCCAGGCGCATCTGACAGACCCTGCTCTTCGCGTGAGTTCATGTGCTTTGAGGAAGATGGGGCCTTTGAGAAAGGCCCTGGTGCTGCAGTTTGGGGAGGCACTCTTCTCTTTCTTTTAAAATCAGCCTCCACTTGTGAGAGGGTTTCGGGATTGGGGTGCGGGATTATTTTCTTTTTTGTTACTACCTGAGCTGGTTCTCACTGATTTCTTTAAAAAAGGGCCCGGCTGGTTTTTTGTTCTGCCTCCAGAGATCCCAGACAGTGTGAGAGATCCCAAGTGAGCCGCACATCCCGCGAGCAGTTGAATATCCTGCTTTACACTGCATTTCCAGACTTCCTTGTGGCCAGACTCATCTCTGGATGAAATAAAGGTATGCAAACATGCATCGGGAAGGAGAGCAAAGCCTCAAAACCGCTTTGTTAAAACTCCCCTCCTTGCGAGCTACCAACCCCACCCATTTGGAGCTTTGTGTTTGAGAAAATATCTGTTCTTTTGTAATACCAGAGAGGGAAACAAAACCCGCTGAGCAAAGCGTGAATTATGCATGTAGTTTATTGAAGGAACAGCTGAAAGTTTGGCGTAAGCGAAGGATAATCAACTCTGTTCACTTACACATGAAAAGCATTAAATCTGTCTATCTAGTACACACACAGGAAAAACAACGCATGCATTTAACTACAGAAATATAAGGTGCTCATCAGTGTGTAATTAAAATCTGCTCTACCAAACCTGGTGTAGCAACTTGGGCCAATTTACATGAGCATTCCCAACCCTCTCGTAAACAGGAAAAATTGGATTTTCTGGTGTCATTAAAGAAATTAAATAATGGCTGCAGCTCCCTCTCGGACAATTAAAATGTGGCTTCACTTTCTGAAGTTGGGAGGACC